TTGTTGCTATCTGGGAAAACCTGAGCTGGAATGCTGAGCTCTTATCCTCTGTAGGGAACAGACTAGAGCCCTCTTCCTCAAAGTCAGTTTCTGAGCAGAATTTTAAGAGGGCATTGGGGAATGAGCAGCTAAAGGAGATGCCCCCAAATGAATCCTTCTGGCTCCCCATTCATTTATGTCCCTGAAAACAATTCCACATTGTGGTAACTATGGTTTCTCCATATGCAACATACTGAGTCCCCTGGACAGAGTGAGCAAAACCCACAGAGGGGCTTCTCCTTTCCTTCCCCTCTGCAGAGTTTCCCAAACCACTTCTCTGTCTCATATCCTTATCCAGGACTTATATTAAAAGATTGTTATTAAATGGTTTAAAAATGAAAAGCAAAATATCAGAGACACAGGGAGTATGCCACAGATCTGAGAAAACAAATGCATTTGAAGGGATTAGAAAAAAAATTAGAAGAAACTCAAAGGATTTAGAATTCATTTCAGGTGCACTGAAAGAAAATCCCTCCTGTATTGAGAGAACAAGTCCAAGTGAAAACCCAGTCAATAAGAAGGGTCCATTAGCTCTATCCTTTATTGGCTACCTTGAGGTTTATAATTCTTTTCTCACTTCTTATCTCTTTGTAGGAGGATGCTTCTCAAAGTGGAGTCCAGACCACTTGCATCAGAATCATCTGAGGGACTTGTTAAGATGCAGTTTCTGTGTCCCCAGTGATCCCGAGGCATTTTGAAGTCTGAGAAAGACAAAACTAAGTACTTTATCATACTTAAGTGGTTGCAATGCCCATGCTAAATCACTTGCTTAAATTGCTGCTTAAAATGTGAAGGAAACACAGTGGCTAAATTGATTCTTTTAGAAATTGTAAGATTTTAAAAGGACTAATAGTGCGGTCTCATTGTCAAAATGAGTATTTTAACATTGAAGCCAAGAAGATCTTTGCCAAAGCATAAACCTGGTCATGTCATTCTCTTGGGTAAAACACTTCAATGACTTCCCACTGCTCTTTTAATTAAGGCCCAGAATTGGGGTTCAGATGACTCTTCTCCCTATCCAGAGCTGGAAAAGTACGCTTCCCTTGGTGTTCCTTCAATACCCAAGTCCAGGTCTGTCCTTCAATTGACCTTCACGTGTGTTAGTTACTCACAGTGACTGTTCTTTCCCAAGTAAAGTCCATTTTCCTTCTTTCCAAGCCTGCTACATCACATTAATCCTGCTGCTGTAGGCCCTCCAGCACCAGTGTCTTTTCCCCACAGCCCATGACTCCATTTAAATTCTACATTTGTGTGATCCTTTAATTAATGTATAGTTCTTCTACTAGTCTTTAAGCAGCCTATGAAATCAAGACAGATATATTTTTTTCCTAGGAAATAGACACACCATGGTTTATCACCTAGCACACCCTGTGGTACATAGCAGCTGCTCAATAAATACTTGTGGATGAAGAAATGAATTAAAGAATATTTCAAAAGCAAATGCTGGAGGCAAATTTACACCCACATAGCCATCAAGAATTTAAAGTTCATGCAGGTCATGCAGATCTGTCTCCTAAAGATAAATGATCTGTCTCTCTGGCACCCTAAGAAAGAAAGCCCCATGGTAGTGTCCCTCCCCAGCATGTGGTACTAGATACCCTCTTTGGCATTTATCACTTTAAATGGATGAGTCCAACTCTTCATAATGCAATTCTCAGATTTTGGAAGCAGAGTGAAATTCAATATTAAAACTGCTATTATGCCATTTCTCTGGGACTTTCATTGATTTGGTTTTGAAAAATCATCCTCCAGCCTATTCATTGTCTGCAAACCATATCTTTTTTTTTTTCTTTTTAAGATTTATTTTATTTATTTATACTGGGTACAGTCAGAAGGGTGGGAGGGCGAGAGAATTATTCACCAGAGCCAGAACGGGGAGCAGAGCAGGCAGAAGGACTGAAGTACACTGCTGAGGGGAGCAGCGGGTGGCAGGAGAGGTCTGCGCACCATGTGGGACCCTCCTCTGGTGGCCGGGGAGCAGCCGGGGATCGAACCAGTGCTGCAGAGGCTGCGGGCAGCTTCGCAACCCAGCATTCAACCTCTGCGCCACCGGGGAGGCCCTGCAAACCACATCTTGAAATAAAAACAGATGTGGGGATTTTCATGATGACTTCTTATATTTTTGTCCACCCTCACACATCTTATCATTCTCAGATTCAGGTGCTGATTCGTGACTGCTTCACTGCACTTTCATGTGCTAGAGCTGTTTGAAAGGCGTTAAAATGTTCCTTAATAAGTCAGCAATAATTACAACACAATGTCTATCATCGTGGAAGGATAACTAACGGGGATATAAATAAATCCACTATCACTGCCCTCTTCCCGCAACCGTAAGTCAAGCAGTAAGCCGTGGTTCAGGTAAAGGAAGTTTTGCTGCCCTGACTGCTCTTTCACGTGCTCCTCAAACAAAACCCTCACAGCAAATCCTTCCCCATCTTTCACAGAGCAGCATGGCCACTCAACACAACACTGCACCATTCAACTGAGGCAAAAATGAACCTGGCAACTTAATGGAGAATTGGCCGCAGAAGAGTGTGGCATATGGAGAGCATTCAGTTGGTTTGGGTTTACGTGAGCTGGGCAGGCAGCTTCTCTGACATGCAAATTTCCTCATCTGTAAAACAGATGCAAGGTGAATTAATGTGTGTGTGCGTACATGAGTGTAGGTATGATATAATTCTCCAGTGATTTACTGTAAAGCTGTATTTCACTACTTACATTTTTATGGGTCTTTAAATATTTAACACTGGATCTTATTTGAAGTCACACACTAATCACAAAACATAGTAAAGATGCACTGCTACACAAGCGACAATCTAGCAGTTCAATGATCCATTCACCCTACTCAAGAGAAGAGAAAATGACTGGAAATCTTATTTTACAGAGAAGATAGTGTATAGTTTGTCAGGTACCAAACACGCTTTCATGGAGTGTTAGATGAATACTTTTCATGATGATAGTAATGGTAAGGGAAAAAAAGAAAACTGTACTACTCTCAGAGCACAGGATTGGAGAAGCAGTTTCCATTTAGCACAGTTCTCTTATACATTCATACTTGATGGCAGTTTTGTGTTTATGTTGAGGTTTATTTCTTTTTGACCACTCCATAAAAGCCATTACCCAGTGGCAAGAACATGAGCTACTGTGTAATGAGTTAGAGAGCCTGTCAGCTAGCTGTTGTCTTTGCAATGGAGTGGAAGGTAGAAAAGGAAGCAGAACTGGCAAGAGTCAGAGAGGATGAGTAGAAATGGAAACGGGGTCAAACTTAGGTGGTCATAAAATGAATTGTTCAGATCAGGACATCTTTGAAAATGAAAGCTGATGCAATTAAAGATGCTGAAACTATACTCTTGGGACTAGAGTCATCCTACTTTTATTTTTCTTTTTTTAACTTCAGGGCATTTTCTAATCTAGTTTATAGACTCAGATTAAAAAAGAAAAATTAACACTTACTACCACCTACCTGCCAATGAACACTTGAATAGTTCCCAACTTATACCAAAGAGTTCCAAATGACTCAAAAAGGACTTTTAGAAAATGCTTATGGAACAACTAAGTTTTCTTAACAAACAACATAGTCATAAAATGTGGTAAAATTGAATTAAATTTCTATTAGTTGATCTTCCACCATATTCCACTAATGGGGTGGGAGTTCTCACTAGGCTCTTGTCCACTTTGGAGAGTTGCAAATAGCCCCCAGAAACTGAAGGAAAGGTAAAGAGTACTAATTAGCAACATCCATTCTCTTAACCCAAAATAGAATAATAAATAAAACACTAAAATAACAATAAATAAAACACTAAATGGGGCCTCCCCTGGTGGCACAGCGATTGAGCGCTGGGTTGTGAGGCTGCCCGCAGCCTCTGCAGCACCAGTTCAATCCCCCGCCACCAGCGAGGGTACCACAAAAAAAAAAAAAAAAAAAACCACTAAATGAATGGGGAAAAGCCATCTATTTACAAGAGCTTTTACTTTAGGTTCCTAGGTTGTTAACATGATTCATTACATCAGTTCTTAAAATTCACAATCATAATTTTCCCTGACTTGGATCTTAGCAGTTTTCTTAGCTGTTTTCTTGATGAAAAGATACATAAGTCAAATAACAGTCTAGTCAAGATTTATGGGGAGATTAACTGGCTACTTAAAGATGATGAGATAGCAAATGCATATCTGTAAATGATTCTAGGAAAATATTCAGATAAACAATCTGAATATAAACTGTTGAATTAATAATAATAATAATAAAATCAATATAATACAAGCATTACATTTAATTACTTTAGCAACTCCAAGAGGCAGGGACCTGCATTATAGTCAGTCCTCTGTATACAAGGATTCCAAATGCTAGGGTTCAACAACTCCCTGGTGGAAAATCCATACTTATGTAATCAGAATACAATGGTTGTGTCTGTCTTGAGCATGTGCAGGCCCCTCTTTTTTTTTCCTGCCATTATTCCTTAAACAATACAATTTAACAGCTATTTATATAGCATTTACATTGTATTAGGTACTATAGGTAATCTAGAAATGATTGAAAGTATACAGGAGAACTTGTATAGGTTATATGCAAACATTAGGCCATTTTATACGAGACAATTGAGCATCTTCTGATTCTGGTATTTGCTGTGTGTTCTGGAACCAAACCTCTGTGGATACCAAAAAAGGGATGTACCTCCAGGGAAGTTTTGAAAACTAAAGCTGAGAAAGACAATTTATACCAAGTCAACCAACTGATACAGTCAAAAAGATCTGGAACCCTTAACCAACACGTGTATGTATATTTTAGCTTTAACCTCATAGACTCCTTTCCCCTTTTTCCAAATACAATTGTTGACAGTGGCTGAAGCCAAAGACAGGTGGTGCTTCCTGGAGGGGGATAGAGAGCCCCAGGGAATATGCGAACAAAGTATAGGTGGGGGTGGAGACTCTGATAAGAAATATAAGGGAATGCAGAAGCAGGTCCCCAGGATTCAGCTTTCTGGATTTCAGCGTTTTCAGATCTTCAGCAATTCTGAGTTTGGCAATTTCTGTCTCCACCACACCAATCTTCCAGTGGGCTGCTACGGATCTCTGAGGGACGTGAGGAGGCTTCCAGTGGCCAACCTCAGAGAGGAAGGGTTCGGAGGTTTTGCAGGTAGCCCAAGGACTGAAATGGTTTCCAGCTTTGCCGCTGGTATAGCCTGAAAGGAAAAGGTGAAAACCTGAAGCAGGGTGCCTCACTGAGCTGCCTGAATGTGGCCATTTGTAGGGTCATTAGGTGGCTGCAGCTGCTGTTTCAAGACTTGATTATCTGGTTCTGTGCTGGCACATCTCAGCAGCTCCAGTTTGCATCTCTTGCTTCATCTTCTGCTATCTTGTGAGTTGGATCGCAGCCTATTGTCTGGATGCCACGTGCTCCAGGATCTCAGTGGCGGGAAGACACCATCTTGGGAGCATGGCCTTTTATTTGGTATAGAAGCTCCACAACTTTAGTGGCTGGAAGTCATCATCTTTGGAGCCTTTGTGTGTAGGACTTTAAAACACTGGACACTGCTTCAGGTAAGGTAAGTGGCCACTTGTGGCCTCAGTGACTCTGTTTTCCCTTGTTTGTTAAATAAATCCCATTAGTATTGTTCTCTGAACCTGAAAAGTCTTGCAATTATGTACACCGGTGAAGAACCCAGACAGTGACCAGTAAACTATTTGGGTACTCTTCTTGGCCAGTTTTAGTGCCCTTGCTGCCCTGTATCACAATCAGTCACTAAATCTTTTCTGTTTTTGCTCAATGTTCATACAAATATCTCTGGATTACCTCTCTGCCCTCCCTTCTTTTTACTGGCTTACATCCCCCTCGATGTCTCCAGAAGCTATGTGCTGAAAGGATGAGAATTAGCCCACTACTCAGACTGTAAAATGGGGAAGAACAACTTATCCTCAAGTTGCATTTACTTAGCAAGCATATTGCTTTATTTACTTATTCATTCAACCAATCTGTGTATTTATTTAGGTAGGCCAAGAAGGAAGGAACTTCAACTTCTATCTTTCCTTGCTGTCTCCCTCCTGCTGTGCCAATTAATCTTGTATTTTTCATTCGATTCCAGCTGCATCTTTTCCCGGCCTAAAAACCATTGACTTTCCTTTTTGTTCAATTCAAATATCCAGATTCAACATTAGAAGACCTTGTCCAGACTTTCTCCTCAATACCCTAATATTCCCTGAATATATCATGATCTCTCTCTTTTAACACCCAGTTTTCACAAAGTCACTTTATTTTGGGTGTTCCTTCCTCTCTGATCTGCAGACACTTTAAACATACTTATGACCATCTGTTAATAGTTGTGTTCCCCATACAGCCCCCTTGCCACACTGCTCATAAGAAGTGGATCTTATTATACCCAGGAAGTATCTTGAATACAGGGCAAAAAAAGTGCATCAAAATGAATGAATGAAGTATTAGCATGGGAGGTGTAAACTGAGCAATATTTGAGTTTAATATAATTATACGCATTTTAAGCATAAGACACACCTTTTTTTAATATGCTACAATTAATAAATAAAGCTTTATTATGCTTCTCTAATATAAATCAGACAGATGTTTCTCAAAACTCTCAATTGAGGAATGGACAATGGATAATTAAGAAAATAGTTCCATTGAGTCTCAGTCACTCCTGATCAATAGTTGAAGTCTAAAGATGATGGGAATATATTCACTCTTTTTTTTTTTTTAAAATTTTTTTTTTTTTTATATAGAGGCATGCTTTATTTATTTATTTGTTTGTTTGTTTTGTTTATACATGCACTGGGTACAGTCAGAAGCGCGGGAGGGTGAGAGAATTCACCAGAGCCAGAGCGGGGAGCAGAGCAGGCGGAAGGACCGAAGTACACTGCTGAGGGGAGCAGCGGGCGGCAGGAGAGGTCTGCGCGCCATGTGGGACCCTCCTCCAGTGGCCGGGGAGCAGCCGGGGATCGAACCGGCACCACAGAGGCTGCGGGCAGCTTTGCAACCCAGTGCTCAACCGCTGCGCCACCGGGGAGGCCCTATATTCACTCTTAATTAAAAGGTTTGATTTAATATAAGCTTTGCTGACTTGATATAAAAGTAATATGCAATGGGAAAAATAAGATTTAGCAGGTAATATAATATTTTTTTTGTCACTAAAGACCTATCAGTAGTAGAACTGTGTTTCTCACATACATATGTACACAACACCCAGTTACTGGATGAAAGCATCAGCTCCATTCCCCCAGACTTAAATTTTTGAGTTCTCGGACACTTTCCAAGTAACCCACAGTGGAAATAACTAGGGCGCCGGGTCTACTATGAAAATGGTGGAGCAGGGCAGGGGTGAGAGTGGGCATGAGTCAAATAAAAACCAGCTTTACTGAGTGTTATTGGAATTCACTCTTCACTTAGCCAAAATATGCAATCTAACCAAAGCCTGTTCACTGGTGCTACCTCCCAAGCCACATGCCTTCTGAGGGCCAAGGGCAAAGTCTGCTGTGGTTCTATGTTTGGGTTAAAGAGCTTAAAAACAGAAAAAAAAAAATTATTTTGAAATGCATCATTCTTTGAAATTAAGAGTAATTGTGTGTAGCAGCCTGGAAAATATAGCTCATTCAGGACTGCTTGGCTACAGAACCAAACAACACAAAACGCTGGCTCTCTAAAAGCTATTTCAAACTGAAAAAAAAAAAAAAGGCACAAAGGGCGGAAGGAAGGGTGGAGGGTTGCTATAGGGCTATGACTTATAAGAAGGTGCAGCTTTGGGAGACATGGCTAGTATACAAGCCAGCAATATTTCCACATCGCTTAAGCCACTAGATGTTGCTCTGCACTGCTACAGCAGCTAAACCGCGAAGGTAAATAAAAGGGTGGCAGATAATTACATAAGAAAACAAATGTGGCAAGATTAGGACAGAAATTAAACGGACAGAGTGGGAAAGGACTTCCCCTACAGCTGTATCTTTAAGCTTCTCCCCTAGCTGGCGACAATGTCTAGGTCACACTGATGGAATATCAATATCTCTCACTATATAACTAGCCAGAGCACATTTTTTTAATATTTTTATTTTATTTTATATATTTTACATCATTTTTCATTTTTGCACATTGTATGCATTTTCATCTTGGTTATATTCCCCATACAATTCCCACCCCCCCCCCCATTTTGACTCTATCCCCTCTTCCCCTCCCAGCAACAGCCCCCCTCCCCTGTAGAGTGTCTATGGTTTATAGTTGCTTGTTGATTTTGATTTTTGCTTTATTATAATTGGTCTTTTTCCTGGTCCCTTATTTAGGTTTTCTGAATTTCTGCTATGAGTGAGACCATCCGGTATTTGTCTTTTTCTTTCTTAGCCAGGGTACATTTTACAAGCAAAGGAGAAGGCATTTCACCTCATTAACTCATTTGCATGCAGACATTTCCTTAATCTTGTGACAGAGACCTCTGAATGAGCAATACTGACCTTTGTTGCCTACCTTCCTCTTATCATTTATCTCATTCCCATTATGTAGACATTACAGTTAATGCAGTAACCAGTGGCTAGAATTCAAGACCTTAAGAGAAAACTGAGGCATAAAATCACTAGGTATAGTTTTCTTTAGCCATAAGATGCCAGAAGGGAACAAACAAGAAATTCAAACTTGAAATTCATTTATTTGGGTTAAGAAAATAATTGCCATACAGGAGTGAAAGATGCTAGGGATATAACTTGGAGAGCTAGAGGAAAGAAATGAAGTAGGGAGAGACCACAAATCAGTGAACGAATAGCCTTAGAGTATAGGAATAACTCATATCAAAGTCCCCACTTGTGTGCTATCAAAGTTCCCACCTGTCTGATAACATATCAATACAGTAAGTCTAACTTATGTAAGAAAAAGCAGTGATTCCAAATGGGGGGAGGGACATTGTCTCTGAGGAAAAAAAATGGCAGTATCTAGAGGGAATTTTTGTTGTCAGAACTAGTTTTTGCACTGACATCTCTCTGGTGGCCAGAGATCAAAGAAGGTAGGGGCCATCCGAGAGTGCACAAGACAGATCTCACAACAAAGAACCACCCAGCCCAATATGTCAACAGTACTGAGGTTGAAATTCTTAAAATAAAGGGTCAACAAAATGGGCACTACTCTGCAGGCATTAAAAAAAAAAACAAATAAGCATCAGCATCGGTAGCCTCAACATTACCCAAGAGTGAAATCACCCCTCATAAAGACTATCTCTGTAGTTGGTATTAACATATAGAGCAAGAGAAGGAGCAAAACATATGACTAGCTGGAAAATACTTTGTCTGAAATGTATTCCCTTTCTCCAGTGGGACTCCTCCCACACCTATTGGTTCTGTGCTTTTACATTGACCATGATTCATGCACAGAGAACAAAGTGTTGGCTGAAGAATACATGTCTATTCTCCTTGGCAAACATCATTCTTCTTTTGACTCACAATTTTCATTCTGGCTTACATGCTCCAGTATCATGAGTTTGGATGATAAGCATACTGTCCCTAAGAAAAGGATGCTCTGACTGTCAAGGCAAAGAAGGTTAATTTTGGAATGAGATATCCAAAGGAAGGCACCAACTCAGGAAAAATCAACCTCAGCAGTGGCAGACACATCTGTGGGTGCCATAGCAACCCAGGGCACATCCATCAAAACCCAGGGCATTCTACCAATAAACAGGAATGAAGAGGTCCCTGTTTGTGCGACAGTGTAGCTGGACATGGGCGGGTCTGATCTCAGACCAGGCTAGTCCAGGAGAACCAATAATGGGGAATAAAGCAAGGCATCATGGTATTATAAAAAAGAATAATAGGAGGAAAAGTCAGGAAAGCTGGATAAAGGTTAAGATCTACTGTACAAACAGCCCTGTGACATTTTATTCCTTCATGTCACATGGATAAAATGGGATAATCATACCATGTTGGTGACTTCCCATCACTTCCAAAAGAGTGTTCTAGGAGAAAGGATGTCAGCACATACAGGAAAATGTCTTGTGGATCCTGTGGCTCCATATTCACTGGGAAAATGCTCACTCACAGCTTGCCTGATCTTGGGGCTCTCCAGCTCTGCTCCTTATTCAGCAAGTACTACCTACTCACCCACAGCAGTCCTAGAGTCCACCAACTAGTGTGTTTTCCAGGTTTTCCACTAAGGAAAGTTTTGTTCCTGTTAAAACTAAAATAGCCCAAACTGTAACCTCAATTCCTGAAATTGAGGTTCCAATAATAATTTTGCTCAGATTCTGGAAATTGGTGTTTGTGGGGGCCTAGAACACTGACTGGGAATCATCATCTTCTATTTATACATGTGACTAATGTCTCTACTCAGCACTATGCCAAGTTGTTGCTGTGATTAATTCTGTTTGATGAGTTAGCATTAGTCTCCCATGTGGATTCCTATGATACTTCACTATTCAGTCTACCTTAGACTAGTGACAAAATGCTCTATCCTGTACCTGCACTTAATCAGTGAAAAGTTAGAGAATACTATGTCACAAGTCCACTTAATAATGGATCATGGTGTTTTTCAGGCTTCATTCTGCCTATTATATGTAAATTCCAAT